CGCTGCGGCTTCGCGGGCCGGGCGGGAGCGCTGCGGGTAGGGCCACCTGGCCACGCCCGTGATGGAGGGAGGGGGCCACCCCGGGACAGGAGGGTCGCTTGGGGCCGAGGATTTGGGGAAAGGGGGCTGATTTCTGGAGGCCGTGGAATTAGCTTTGACCTGGTTAGCCGACTACAGAAGGATTCTCGGGTCCGGGGGGAGTTTATTCGGGGGATTCGACCTCGGGGGGCGAAGCGGCGGTTTGGAAAGAGATCTGCTCTTCAGGAGCAAGAGCGCCTCTGAGCTTACAAAGCTGGTGGCTCTGCTGCACAAAAGGCCACCCTCCCCCCCATAAGAAAGGGGTGTTTGACTTGAGAATGGGCTAAAACCCTCTTCCAGGATGTCGGCAAGAGGAATTTCCTCTACAAATGTACATAAATAAAACATCCTCCATCTTCCTACCATGTCTGCTCTTCCAGAAGCAGGTGAAATTTCCAGCATCCTTCATGCTGGTCCTGCTCGGCGCCATCTGGACAAATGCAGGTTTTCCACCCCTGGGAGGTGGGGGGGGGGGCAAAATGTTTTGGCAACATTCTCCCAAAGTTGTAGACGGAGCAAAGCAGAAGCCACAGGCAGGAAGCTTGAGAGAAGCCTCTTCCCCCGTTGGATATCCGCCTCCTTCTCAAAGCCGCAGAAAAAGGGGAGAAGTCCCATGGGCTTCTTGCCACACCGCAGGTCACAAGCGGCCAAGACAGAAGTTCAACCCATCCAGCTTGAATTTCTGCTTGTTGGCAGCTGTGAAAAAAGGGAGGAGAGTGAAGATCTGCTGAACTCATTTCTCTGGTGGCAAATCTACCCACTTAGCTGAGAGCAAGTGAGCAAGGGGCTGCCCAGAAACATGGTCCACGACTCCATGCTTCTCTGGGAGAACTCAGGACCGGGAGTTGGAAAAGTCTTGGGGGCGTCTAGAAAGGCAAGAGGGGCAGATTTGCTGAGACCCGCTCCTGCCAGCCATCTCAAATCTGGCTACGGCTAAGGTGCTTGGGCAAGACGGCTTAGTTTTCCATGGGCAGGGAGCTTTTGCTAAAGTCAGGGCAAGGCTGCCCAGCTTGCATTTCTCAAGACATAAAAGGAGGCCTTGGGAACTGGATCCCAGCCGTAAGGCGGGTGGAGAGCACAGTCAGCTGGTCGAATAGCTCATTCAACACTGCTTCTTCCTCTCCGCAACATGGCCCGCCGGCAGCTGGCAAACGCGAAAGGCCAAGCCCGTTTCCAGCCAGCTCAGCGGCCGCGAAAGCCCTGGAGGCTGCTAAGTGCTTCTCGGCGCTGATTCGCTGGCCCGGATCCTTGAAATGGTGGCTGCTGAGGAACCTGGAAAGTAAAGCATAGAGTGCCCCGCGTGCAAGTGTCATCCGGCCTTGCCCACACTCCTGTCCTGGTATCCAGGCAGCCCCGTTGCCACCATTCGTGTGATGGAGCTTTCAGAGAATCACGAGGCAGGGAGTTCCCCTGTCCCGTCCACCGACCGTGGCCCCTTGGCTCTGTAAACAAGCTGTCCGCCGTTGTTCTGGCTTCCCGCAAGCTGCAGTTCTTCACCTGGGTTTCTTTGCAGGGGAGACGCTCGGCCAGCTGTGTATTCGCTGCGCTCGCCATGACGACTTCGTACCGGAAGGAGCTGGAGAAATACCGAGATATCGATGAAGACAAGATCCTCAGGGAGCTCTCCCCGGAGGAGCTGGACCAGCTCGACCTGGAGCTGCAGGAAATGGATCCAGAAGTGAGATCACGGGCCGGGGAGGAGGGTTCTACAAACTCTGGATTTCATTCCAAAGGTTTCCAGAGGGGGAAGTCGAACAGATTAGAGATGGCCTTTGCACCTCGGAGTTTGGGGCGCTGGCAATCCTGCGCAAAATAGCAAAAATGTGCAATTTCGGATTTTGGGGAGAGCAAGGAAGCTGTTCCTGATCCCGGGGACTCCATTCCACACCACCACCTCCCATATTAAGCACGCTGGGTCCTCTATAGGCTGATCTGCCTTGGCTCCAGTGTCCTTCATGAGCATTCAACAGGTGAAGCTGGGCAGAGCATTTGAGGGAGGCTCTTCCATCAGCCCAGTGGACACCCTTGCGAATTGGAGCACTCACAAAACGGCACCCCAAAAGCCTTGTGTGTTCACAGCGCCGTTGCATCCTGGGTATGCTGGCTTGCAAAACGACCCCTGTACAGATGCAAACAGCGAAGTTATCCTGCTCAGCCCTCCAGGTTGCTTTTGATGACCTCAATTAACTCTAATCCTTGGCGGGGGTTTTGCCAGCTGGACACACTACTAAAGCAAGCTTTGGGCCAGGGCCCCCAACATTTTTATTCCCCACAAATAATTCAGGAGCCTATTCTCAGAAATCAAGGTATTGGTGCAAGGGGGAAGGAGATAGGGCTGAGATATTAAATAATTAATTAATCAAGTAATTAATTATAATAAAAAATATCCCAGGCCCTTGGGAAGGACTCGATAGGTGGACCAAACTCCCAAATCCAGTCTAAACATCTGGCTGATGGTGCAACCAACCATAATGATTTATTAAATTTATACGCTGCCCGACAACCCAGCATTGCAACGCAACGCCTTTTTTCTTTCTAAAAAGAAAGGGGTCTGGGCGGGGAAACACCCCAGAAGGGACTGTGCCAGGGCCAAGAGGTGCCCCCCTGCGGAGATGCCCAAAGCTTTCCCAGTTGGGTTTTACAGGGCACGGCGAGGAGGTTTTCCTATCACGCACCCCGATTTCCGCTCTGCCTCCTAGAACGTGATGCTTCCGGCTGGGTTCCGGCAACGGGACCAGACGAAGAAAGGTCCCACCGGGCCTCTGGACCGCGATGCCCTGATGCAGCACCTGGAGAAGCAGGCGATGGAGGCGAAGGAACGGGAAGACCTGGTGCCTTTCACCGGGGAGAAGAAAGGTAAGGGCTGTGCTTCCTGCCTGACTCTGCGGGCCCCACCGGGAACGAGGAAGCGCTAGGACGACGCCTGGGGTCCCTCCCAGGGGGCTGCGCAGACCTGGAAAATCTGTTTCAGGCCCCAGAGGGAGAAGGGGAGAGCAAGGTCCCCCTTTGAGAAAAACCCAGGAGGAAATGCCTTTCAACCTTCCGTGCGGATTTCCGTGCCCCCAATTCCACGCAGCCGTTCCAGCAGGGACATCGGCTTGGCCAACGGAGAACGTCCACTGGCAAGGGAACCACGATGCTCTGAGCAGGTGCAGAAGAACTGGCACCCGTGGCCTGTTGGGGTTTGGGGGTAACGGCCCCAAGCCCAGGGATTGAGCAAGAACTCTTGCGGGGGTTCAACCCCTCCGGGCATGTCGGGTCTCAAACAAAGGCGAAGGGTTATATTTAACTAGAGCAGCCGAGGGTTCAAAATAGCCCAACGTGCAGCTCGGATGCCCCGCAAAGGGTTTCTTGCCCAACCTGGGAAAACCTTCGGTCGATGGAACAGCAGGGCCAAGCAGAAGCCCTCTGTGAGGGATCCCCAACAGGGCCGGCGGGCCAACTTGCCCGCACCTGGTGCTGCTGAATGTTTTGCACTTCGAGTTGTAGACTGGGGCATCCATCGGAGGGGACGATGTGGCCCTGCTCAGATCCAAGGCCTTGCTGGGCGGCTCTCCTGGGGGCTGGAAGCAAACGAAGGCAGTGATTTGCAAAGGTTTTCCCCAAGGGAATGGGATCTTTTGGGATCTTCTGGGACCTATGGCGCCTCTCCAAACCTCAGCCATGCTGAGTTTTGCAAGGCCAGCAGTTGGTCTCCCTTTGGTTACAGATCCTGCTTCGTGATCAGGCGGGCTCCTTCAGCCAGAAGTGGGGAGACCCAGTCCTCCCTCCTTCCCTTCCTCTCGGTTCCTGCCCCCATTGACACCTTTCCTTGCCGAATCGATAAAATACCTGACCCCTGGGCTGAGCAAAGATGCAGGACATATTCTCCCCATACCTCTCTTGCTCAAGGACTCCATCGCTTGGGCCAAAACAAAGACTTTCCCAAAAGGTTAAAACTCTCCTGCGGTTCCCCCAATCCTTTTCACTCCCCTTGCTTCCTAGATTCATTTTTAAAAGAGGAAATCAATTCCCTACCAAAACACAGCGCGTTTGCAACCTTTCTCGTCCCGTTGTCAAACTGTCACTCTTCTTCCCTGCTCTTTTGGGCTCAGAAAGGAGCTTGGTTTAAAGCAGACCGGATTGGCTCGATGTGGATATCCCGCCGTTTACACCAAGGGTGCCTTTTCCTTTCCCCCTTCCATGGCTGGACCGTCAAACATCAGACTGCTATTAATAAATCTGGAACTTCCTCCGTGTATCCAAATTGCCGGCATGAATGAAGGCCATTTCAGGGGCATTAGAGAGGGACTGAGTCCAGCCAGCGTGACACCGAATTGTCAGCGACTTGTCTGGAATCCCCACAATGTTAATGTTCAATAGGGGGCATAATTTTGCAGAGTTGATAGGAAGGAAGGAAGGAAGGAAGGAAGGAAGGAAGGAAGGAAGGAAGGAAGGAAGGAAATATTTTGAGGGCTCTAGTTGCTCATGAGAGGCTGCCTGTTGAAACCCTGCATGAGTCACCCACAGAACTTCATATTACTCTGTTTGCATCCGCCTCTCTCTCCCGATGTTCATCATTCTCCGCCTCTCCCCCTGCAGGGAAGCCTTTTATCCCAAAAGATCCCAAGAGAGAAAATATCAAGGAAGAAGATGTCATCCTGGAGCCGGAGCTAGAAGAAGCTTTGGCTAACGCCACCGATGCCGAGATGTGCGATATTGCAGGTAAAAGGCCCAGGGGGACGGGGTGGGGCTGCGTGGCGCGCGCGAGAGAGTTGCATCAGAGGATCAGCGGAACCTCCCTCTCCAGAGGCAGTTGGCCTTGAACTGCCCTTCACCGCTGGCGCGGGAAGGGCAGAATCCTGCTTAGGACCGATGCATGAAACGTGCTTCTAACGTTAAAGGTTTGGCTTGGGGCGACGCAGCCGATTAGCCGACCTGCAGACCCCACAAGATATAAATTCCCCCCAGTTTCATGGAGAAGACAGCCTTGCCTGGTGCAGCCAGTCCCAGAGAAACAAGGTGGGGGGGGGAACAGCGCTCTGTCCCACATCAGCAGTCGACAAGAAAGTCGCTTGGCGCTCCCCTCTGCAGGTGTAAGCTGATAGGGCACCAGAGCTCAGTGTTTCTGATTTTAGTCCGTGCCCGGCGCTCTGCCAGGTTGTTTCAGCCTTCTGGCCGGCCGCTCAGCTTTAGGAATCGGAGCTGGCCAGGGCCCGGCCAGGCCTGGCCGGAGCAGGCAAACCTGCCCCGATGTGCAGCAGGCCTGTTTTACTGACCCCAACACTGACGGGTTATCCTCCTTCTGCTTCCTCGCAGCCATTCTTGGCATGTACACCTTGATGAGCAACAAGCAGTACTACGACGCCATCTGCACCGGCAACATTACAAACACGGAAGGCATTAACAGTGAGCACCTTTGGGCAGGAGGGGAAAGGCTTGGAAGGGAGAGGCGTCCCATCCGCGTCAAGGCCCCAGCTCTCAGGGCAGCGACGCGTCCCCCTGCCCCGGCCGCGGGCACGAAAGAACCAGAGGAGCCACGCGGGCGGTCCCCACGACGGGCAGGGCCATGGAGATTAGGGTTTTCCCATCCTGTCATTGCAGGGCGTTTCTAGCGGTTTGGGGAGGTAGAAACAGCGCAGTTGGTCCCCTGCCAGCGCCAAGGGCTCAAGTAGGCATCCCGCTTCTCTCGGAAAGACGGAAATGTTGGACGGATCCCCCCACTCCGTTCACCAGCCCAGAATGCCCCCCTTCCCGCTTGGGGTCAGGGTGGGGGACCTCGTCCGTCTTGCTGTGCAGAACCCCGTCTCCTCTGCCACGCAGCTCATCGTGCCCTGCTCCGCTGGAGAGCCAAGGGGAGGTCCACCCGGAGGGCAGAGAAGCCTGGTTTTCAGACAAGGGTATTTGGGCACTTCTTCTTGCCCAGGCAGGAGGCGAGAGAAGGCGCGATTACCCAGCCCTGCTCCAACGGCACGCTCTCTTCTTCCTCCCTTGCCCGCAAACCCCCCTCCGCGCAGGTGTCGTCCAGCCCGACAAATACAAGCCTGTCCCGGATGAGCCCCCCAACCCCACCAACGCCGAAGAAACCCTGGCAAAAATCCGGAGCAACGACAAAGCTCTCGAAGAGGTGAACCTCAATAACATTAAGGTCAGTACCAAACCCCACGAGGACCCAGCTGGGGACTGACCAGGGACAGGTGGAACAGTCCTATCCTGGGGCAGGTTAAATCTAGACGGTTTCAAGGGTTTCGCAATTCTCGCCTGCCACCGGCTAACCTGAACAGGAGCTCAGTCTTTGTCCAAGATTGATAAGGGGAAACATCCGAAAAGGAAGGCATGGCATAAAAGGAAAAATGAAAACCGGTGGGGAGGGAAAAGGAAAAAATGACCATCCAGGGTGTCACTTTTCCCCTGTTCTCTGGGGCAGGACATCCCCATTCAAACGTTGAAAGAGATCTGCGAGGCGATGAAAACGAACACCCAGGTGAAGAAGCTCAGCCTGGTGGCGACCCGGAGCAACGATCCCGTGGCACATGTAAGCTCAGAAGGTCCCCTTCCAGGGTCTGGCACGCAGAGGGGGCTGAGTCCGGCTGCCCCCCCGGGGCCGGGCCTTCTGGGAATGCCCCCCAGCGATGCCGCGCCCTCAGCCGTTTCTCCTCCGGCCGGTCTTCCCAGGCGGTGGCCGAGATGCTGAAGGAAAACAAAACGCTCCGGAGCCTCAACATCGAGTCCAACTTCATCACCAGTGTGGGGATGATGGAGGTCATCAAGGCCATGAAGGGAAACACCACACTGTCCGAGCTGAAGGTGGACAACCAGGTGAGGGGCCCTCACGGGAGCGGCTCCGGGAGCGGCTCCCTGGGCCGGGCGGCCAGCCCCCGTCCCCACGAGCCACCGAGAAGCCGCTGAGTCGGGATCTGGGGTCCTGCATCCCCCCCGTTTGGGAACAGTGGCGTCTCAGGGACCCCACGCGTTTCCACCTCTGCTGCTTCTCTCCCCCCTGCAGCGCCAGAGGCTGGGCGACTCGGTGGAGATGGAGATGGCCGCCATGCTAGAAACCTGCCCCTCCATCATCCGATTCGGGTACCACTTCACGCAGCAGGGGCCGAGGGCCCGGGCGTCCATCGCGATCACCAAGAACAACGAGCTGCGTAGGTTGGCAGGGCTGGCTCCCCAGACGGGCCCTTCCGGGGTCGGGGGAGAAAGAGAGAGAAAGGAAGAAAAAAGCAGAAGCGGGATGGGAGAGAACCAGCCGGGGGGCGTTGGGGTCGGGGTTAGGGTCCCGGCTCCTGCCCTCTCGCTTCCCAACTCTCCTCTTCTTTGCAGGCCGCAAACAGAAGAAAACATAAGGGCCTGGGGCACAATCCCCCTTCCCCAAGCTCCATCGCGTGGCTGAATCCATCACCCCCGGCTTCGTCCGCCAGAACTCCAAAGCCCGACTCAGGCTCTTTCTCCCTCCGCATCCAAGAGCCTCCCCGTCTTTTAAATACCTCTGTAAATAAAGAGACCTGAGCGATGCCCCCAGAGGGATGAACTGGCTTTGTTCTGAACTGGCTTTGTTCTGCGCTACAGAGCGAAGGCATTTGCCCTCTTTCCTAGACGAAAGCCACTCTGAAACGATTCGGCGCTTGACTGCCTGGGAGGAAAGCGTAATTGCGCCCTCATTGTGTCTTTGCATTACCTCTGGAAATAAAGGGATCTGGGGGGATGCGACCCAGGCGGGGCGAATGGCCTTTGCTCTGAACTGGCTTTGCCCTCCACTCCACAGCAAAGGCAGTCGCAATCGTTCTGAGCTTGGCAAAATGATCGTGGCACAATTAGGCACTAGTTTGCCTGGGGAAAAAGCCATCGTCAGATTCCTGGGTACTGATAATTTTGAGTGTCTGGCAGCCTCCTAAACGTTCATGACAGCGAGGTGGATTTTCCCACCCGGTTCCCACTTTGCTTCATTTAATCGGAGCAACAAAGCTGTTCGCCAAGATGGGCGCGAACGCTCCCCCCGCACCAACGCGTGGCTACCCCTTCAGCCAAAGGGTTGGGATCACACAGCCCAATAAACCATCGATTATGGTTTCCAAGCAATGTTGGCTAAATTCCCCCGGCCTACCAATCGAAAGCCCAACGCCTGGGGGCTGGGGCCAAGCCCAAGTAATTTCTCCCCTCTTCTACCAAAAGAAAACTCACTGCGTAGTTGAAATGTAGAAGTTTATAATAAGAAAAGATCAAACATGGAAATGGGTTTGCACATTCGCCAGGCCTCTCTTTCCCAAAGATTCCCTCCCTTCCTTCCTTTCCTCCCTCCCTTCCCCTTCAATTCTCCTTCCTTCCTTCTTTTCCAATTCCTTCCTTCCTTCCTTCCTTCCTTCCTTCCTTCCTTCCTTCCTTCCATCCATCCATCCATCCATCCATCCCCAGGCTCAAATGGCTCAAAGATTTGGGGAAGCATGATGCGTCCTATCTAGCCAACGACCTCCAACGTGTGTGTGGGGGGGGGAGACTGGGTCTCCAACCCTCTTGGGACTGGACCCAGCTCTTCATGAACTGCAACCAAAGTTCAGGGGTTTGGGACCATCACGAGTTGTCCTCGTTCAACCCCCTCCTGGGGCTGTCATGGAAATAAGAAACAGTCTTGGAAGATGACAGAAAGACCCCCAGCAGGACAGACAGCGTCTTTGCCAAATGACTAGCCAGGACCCCCGGGAGCAAACTCAGCTCTGTGGCGTCCCTCCCCCCGGCAGCTTGGCTTTCAGCGGCCTCAGGCTGCGATCTCAGCCTGAAACCAGAGAAGAGCAGAGCGGCAGGGGTCTCCAAGGAGCTGCCACTCGGAGAGTTATCCCAAGCAGGTGCTGCTGGGGGCGACCCCCTCCCGTCCTTGAGACGCAGCAGGTGAAATGGGAGACCGGGCGGTCGGGTTGCACAAGATCTGGCCACGGAGGACAGGGAGGAGCAGGAGGGCTCTCAGCCTTTAAAGACGGCTGGCACGATGGCTCCTTTAGGGTGCTCTGTCCCGTGGCGTTGCCCGCTTGCCGCCTGTCCCCTTCGCACACGCCTCCAGCCCGCCCGCCCGGGTTGCAATTCACGCAGCCCGAGCTGTCTCTTCCCCTCCCCGCTGACAAGCCACGATGGGAGCCGTGGAACCAAAGATTACGGCGGGGGGCCAAAAACCCGGTTTTACCCAAGCAGGCGAGGCCCCCTGCCCTGCGGGGGGGCGCGAGGGAAGGCGCCGCGGCG